CACCGTTACAGGCAGCTTGATGAACTGAGCCCAGTTGTGACACTTGCTGAGTTACAGCAAAGCTGGGCTGGCCTGAAGAAAGGATGTTGGGATTGTATAATGCGCCTCACAAGGTTTTTGAGAAGAGCTGTTTTTTCTCAACCTTGGCCACTTTAAGAGTTGTGGATTCAACTCCCAGAATTCCCCAGATAGAACAGAACAGAACAGAACAGAACAGAACAGAATAGAATAGAATAGAATAGAATAGAATAGAATAGAAAATATGGAATGGAATGGAATGGAATGGAATATAGAATAGAATAGAATAGAATAGAATAGAATAGAATAGAATAGAATAGAATAGAATAGAATAGAGAACAACAGAACAGAACAGAATAGAATATAGAACAGAATAGAATAGAATAATAAAATATAGAATAGAATATATAATTGAATAATAGAATAGAAGAGAATAGAAGAGAACAGAACAGAACAAAACAGAATAGAATAAAGTAGAATAAATATAGAATAGAATAGAATAGAATAGAATAGAATAGAATAGAATAGAATGGAATGGAATGGAATGGAATGGAATGGAGTGGAGTGGAGTGGAGTGGAGTGGAATGGAATGGAATAGAATAGACCTTGAGGTCATCTAGTCCAACCCCCTGCCCAGGCAGGAAACCCTATACCATTTCAGACAAACGGCTGTCCAGTCTCTTCTTAAAAACTTCCAATGTTGGAGCACCCACAATTTCTTGTAGCAAGTCATTCCACTGGTTAATTGTTCTCACTGTCAGGAAATTTCTCCTTAGTTCCAGGTTGCTTCTCTCCTGGATTAGTTTCCATCCGTTGTTTCTTCTCCTGCCTTCAGGCGCTTTGGAGAATAGCTTTGGAGAATAGCTCCCACAGTCATTAAGCGAATCCAGGGTCCTCCTTGACTGAGCTTGTCAGAAGCCCTGCTGGGAACATGACGTGGGGATTGCCAAGGGCTTCAATTTTGATCACGTGACCATGGGGGGGGGGAATACCGCAACGGTTCTAAGTGCGAGGACTGGTCAAAATTGTTTTTCCAGCGCCATTACAACTTTGAACGGTGGCTAAAGAAGCAGTTGTAAGTCGAGGACTATCTGTAAAACACGAATATGAAGCTTTTAGACCAGGGCATCTTCAAACCTGGCCCTTTGGTGACTTGTGGACTTCAACTCCCAGAATTCCTCAGCCAGCATGCCTGGCTGAGGAATTCTGGGAGTTGAAGTCCACAAGTCATCAAAGGGTCATAGTTCCCTCACGCCGGCTGAGGAATTCTGGGAGTTGAAGTCCACAAGTCATCAAAGGATCATATTTCCTTCACGCCGGCTGAGGAATTCTGGGAGTTGAAGTCCACAAGTCATCAAAGGATCATAGTTCCCTCACGTCGGCTGAGGAATTCTGGGAGTTGAAGTCCACAAGTCATCAAAGGATCATATTTCCCTCACGCCGGCTGAGGAATTCTGGGAGTTGAAGTCCACAAGTCATCAAAGGGTCATAGTTCCCTCATGCCGGCTGAGGAATTCTGGGAGCTGAACTCCACAAGTCATAAGAGGGCCGAGTTTGAAGACCCCTCCTTGCGGACTTCAACTCCCAGAATTCCTGAGGCAGGCACATTGGCTGAGGAATTCTGGGAGTTGAAGTCCACAAGTCCTCAAAGGGCCAAGTTGGAAGACCCCTGCTTGTGGACTTTCAGAGGGATCCTGGATCCTGCTCCAGGCCAAATGGCTGGGATCGCTTCAGATCCAGCCCAGCTCTTGCCTGTGCGGGATGAGACACTCACCCCAGTTGCCATGTGAAAACATTCCCGTCTTTCCCTGGAATTTCCTCCAGGTCCACCTGCTCTCGTGAGCGTGCCGCCCTCTCATCGCTGGGCGGCTCGTGAAGCATGCCCGTGATCTCCTGGTGGCCACCTTTCCCGAGGGGAGAAAAGGCATGACTCATCAGCTAGGAAGAAAGGCAGAATCTGCCCAAAGAAGTGGGCGGCTCCCTGGGCATTGCTCCAGAGCTGGCTTGCTTTGGAAATTGTAGAAGAATTAAAACTGTAAAAACACCGCAAAAAAAAATTGTTCTTCAACCTTGGCAGCTTGAAGATGGGAAAATGAGCACAGGATGTCCTCAGGGGCTGCGTCCTAAGTCCGCTGCCGTTCACCCTGTTGACCCATGACTGTTGTGCCACGTTTGTCACCAACCATATTGTGAAGTTTGCAGATGATACAACAGTAGTGGGCCTTATTCAGGATGACAAGGTGGAGGCTCACCGCAGGGAGGTTGAGGGGTTGGTGAACTGGCCTTAAGGAGAACAGCCTAGTTTATATATATATATATATATATATATATATATATATATATATATATATATATATATATATATATATATATATATATATATATATATATATATATATATATATATAAACTTTATTGATTTTTAAAACATAAGTCACATAATAGTTGGTTAACAGTGTGTTTGCTTGGTTTACATTTATAAAGAAGAATCGTTAACAATTAATTTCTATGATTCCCAATCCACATGTTCAAACAGATGTTTCTTTTTCTCTTAAGTATTCTCTCTGGTAGATCCCGTCATCTCTATTCTTAATTTTCACTTTAATAATTAGATATTTTTCCTTTGATAGGTATCTTTCTTGATCAATGTGTTTCGCTGAATCAGAGAGTTTTTCCATCTATTTTTTCCCCCAACCAATTATACAATTTGTTCCAGATTTCGTAATAATCTGTTTCACTCTTATCCTTGAGTTCTAACAGTCAACCTATCCATTTTATCCTGTGCTGACAGGATAAAATCTTATTTATTACCTCTTCTTCTGAGGGTGCCTCATTATCTTTCCATCTCTGTGCAAAGACTAATCTTGCTGCTAGAACAGCCTAGTTTTAAATACCGGAAAAACCAAAGAGATCGTTGTCGATTTTCAGAAAAGGCAGGCACAGCCACACTTCTCTGTGCATTAATGATTCACCTGGGTGTGCAGTCAACAAGTAGGCTGGCTTGGTCGCTCTACAGCGAGACACGGGTGAAGCGGGCACAGCAGCGCCTGCATTTTCTGCGTCGTATGAGAAAAGCACCTCTTCCTTCCCCTGTCCTCACCACTCTCTACAGGGGGACGATGGAGAGCATCCTGTCATACGGCATCACAGTCTGGTTTGGAAGCATCCCTGCTTCGGACAGGAAACCGGTGCAGAGAGTGGTGAGGACGGCAGAAAAGATGGTTGGCAGTTCCTCCCTTCCACCCAGGACGTGGCCCATAAGCGTTGCTTGAGCAGGGTCCGCAAGATTGTCTGGGACACTACACATCCTCTTCACAACCTGTTTTCCTTGTTCCCTTCTGGGAGGGGGGCTCCGTGGTATCCGGAGCAGAACATCCAGATTCAGCCATAGTTTCATTCCGTACAGCATTAACCTTGTGAACGCTCCAGCTTCCTCCTTCCGTTATATATTCAAGATGGACAGTGTTTAATATTTATTTGTTACGTATATGTAGGGGTGTGGGTCTATACATACGTTGAACATGGTATGTTTAGGTGTGTGTGTCGTGTATGTGTTTCACTTTGAGAGCGGGCAACTAAATTTCATTTTTGATGTGTGCCGTTGTGCCCACAGTAAAAAAAAAAAATGACAACAAAGGTTATCTTCTCTTATGGGTGGAGTTCAACTCCCAGAATTCCCCAGCCAACAGGGCTAGCTAGGGAATTCTGGGAGATGAAGTCCAACCCTCTTAAAAGTGGCCAGGGTTGAGAGACGCTGCTGTAAACCCTTGTTTTTCAAGCAGGGCAACTTGAAGACAGGTGGACTTCAACTCCCAGAATTCCCCAGCCAAGAGGGATAGCTAGGGAATTCTGGGATTTGAAGTCCACCCAGCTTCAAGTCGCCCGGGGTTGAAAAAACATGGCTGTTACTTGTAAAAAGGCAACTTAAAAATATCAGTTCAGATCAAACTTTGCAGAGAGCCCTTTTACTGTCACATCTGAATATCCACATGCAGGTTATCCATGCTTAATAATAATAATGATGATAAAGTTGGAAGGGACCTCGGAGGTCATCTAGTCCAACCTCCTGCTCAGGCAGGAAACCCTTGCAGTTTCTGCTTTCTGCAAATGATTGCTGTAATCTTTGCGAACATTTAAACAACACCCTTGGCCTAAAAAGATATTGGAGGGAGATTTGGCCACAATAAAGACTTTTGTGTTGCAAATTAATAATAATAATAATAATAATAATAATAATAACAACAACAACAACAACAACAACAACAACAACAACAACAATAATAATAATAATAATAATAATAATAATAATAATAATAATAATAATAATAATAATAATAAAATAAGGTCCCACTGAGATTCGAACTCAGACTGCTGGATGCAGAGTCCAGAGTGCTCACCATTACACCATGGAACCGCGACTAGCCCGCAGCTTCACCGCCATTCACTCCCGCCCCCGCCGTCGGAAAAGAGGCGGAGATGCCGCCCAGCCAATGGCGTCGCTGCTCATTTGCATTTCCCGTTCTTTCCTCGCCGGGGCCCATTCAGGGAACAAAAGGAGAGGTTCTTCGGGTGGGCGGGCCCTGGCCCGTTGCTTAGGAGAAGTGGGCGGGGTCTTTCCTCCTCGCTCCTGCTTTTCCGACCCCTCCCTTTCCCGGGTCGGGTTAACCCTTGAATTCCCGGGCTCGACTCTGTTGCTTTTGTTTTCTTTCTCCTCTCTGCGAAATAATTCAGATTTATTTTTTTTTAAATTCCGATTTTTATCTTTTTTCGCGTCTCCCCTTTTTCTCCCAGGCCCTGGAACGTCGATCCACCCGGCGGTGGCAGCCCCCCAAAGGTTTGTATTCTGCTGGCTACGTTTGCAACCTTGGCAGAACATTGAAGAATGAAAAAAAATGCAAGGAGGAGATGGCGGCGGCTAGTTAGTATCTGGGAGCCGGTCTCGCCTGGTGGTTAAGGCGCACCTGGCTAGAAACTGGGCGACGGTGAGTTCTAGTTCCACCTGAAGCACAAAAGCTGGCTGGGGGGCTTTGGGCCAGTCACCAGGAGACGGTGAGTTCTAGTTCCACCCTAGGCATGAGAACTAGGAAGGTGACTTTGGGCCAATCACCAGGCGACGGTGAGTTCTAGTTCCGCCCTAAACAGGAAAGCCAGTTGGGCGACCTTGAGCCAATCACCAGGAGACGGTGAGTTCTAGTTCCGCCCTAGGCATGAAAGCTTGGAGGGTGACTTTTGGGCCAATCAACAGGCGATTGTGAGTTCTAGTTCCGCTCTAGGCATGAAAGCTTGGAGGGTGACTTTGGGCCAATCGCCAGGTGACGGTGAGTTCTAATCCCACCCTAAGCATGAAAACTAGGAGGGTGACTTTGGGCCAATCACTAGGAGATGGTGAGTTCTAGTTCCTCCTTAGGCATGAAAACTAGGAGGGTGGCTTTGGGCCAATCACCAGGAGACTGTGAGTTCTAGTTCCGTCCTAGGCATGAAAACTAGGAGGGTGACTTTGGGCCAATCGCCAGGTGGCGGTGAGTTCTAATTCCGCCTTAGGCATGAAAACTAGGAGGGTGACTTTGGGCCAATCGCCAGGTGGCGTTGAGTTCTAGTTCCGCCTTAGGCATGAAAACTAGGAGGATGACTTTGGGCCAATCGGCAGGAGACGGTGAGTTCTAGTCCTGCCTTAGGCATGAAAACTGGCTGGATGACTTTGGGCCAGTCACCAGGAAACGGTGAGTTCTAGTCTCGTCTTAGGCAGGAAAGCCAGATGGATGACCTTGAGCCAATCACCAGGAGACAGTGAGTTCTAGTCCTGCCTTAGGCATGAAAGCTGGCTGGGTGACTTTGGGCCAGTCACCAGGAGATGGTGAGTTCTAGTCCCGCCTTAGACAGGAAAGCCAGTTGGGTGACCTTGAGCCAGTCACCAGGAGACGATGAGTTCCAGTCTCGCTTTAGCCACGAAAGCCGGTTGAGTGACTTTGGTCTTGTCCCTCTCTCTCAGCCCTACCCACCTCACAGGATTGTTGTTGTGGGTTAGATAGAAAGAGGAAGGACTGTTAAGTATGTTCGCCGCCTTGAGCGGGGGATACAAATAATAAAGGTGGGATATACATAATAAGAAAATAAATCAGAAGATAAAATAACTCCCCCTCCGCAGCCTAGGTGGAACGGTTGAAAAAAAACCCTCTGCGAAAACGTTGAAAGAAAAATCAGATCCAGTCCCAAGCCGGGAGGAAAACACTGGAAATAAAATGGAGGCTGGCTGCTTAGGAAAGGAGGTTTAATGACGAGCAGAACCAACAGCAGCAGGTAGTTCTGGGACAGCTGACCCAATGGAGTTGAGAGTCGGGTTTTTTATACCTTCTGACTGAGATGCTCCAGGGCGTTGTGTAATGTAGTGAGCCTTGTGTCAAGGGTGGTGGGCTATTATGCTATTATGTCCTAAAGGTCGTGTCGTGTCCTTTAGGAGAAATATTCGCTCGTACCTTTTTTGTTAATATTAAAAATAAAGAATATTTTAATCTGGGGAGGGGAGGGGTCTTCCTACAAAAACCAGGGACGGTCCTGCAAGGTCCAGGGGCCTAGGACCATTTTTAAGCGTCGTTTCTCTTCTCTCAATCTCCAGCATGGAGGCTGCCCGACAGGACGCTGCCCTTTTGTACGTGGTGCAATCCGGCACGCTGATGATGGAGTATTTACGAGCCCGTGGGGAAGCCGCTTCGGCCGCAGCCTCCCGCCGTCGGTGGGCCTTCCTGCACTCCCTACAGCGGCGAGGAGCAGAGGAGGATGGAGAAGACGAGCTGGAGGAGGAGAAGGAAGAGGAGGAGGAAGAGGAGGAGGAGGAGGAAGGAGAAGAAGAGGATGCCGAAGAGGAAGAAGTCTTCCTGGCCAGACAGACCCGCAGCGCCGGCTTCAGGCGCAGGGGACGCCTGCGTTCGGTTGAAAGACGCTTCTGGGCTCGGCCGCGCAGCACCGAGTGGTGGGACCGGACGGTCCTGGAGACCTGGGACGATAGCAAGTGGCTGCAGAACTTCAGGATGCGCAAGGCGACCTTCTTGGACCTCTGCGCCCGGCTGTCCCCGGCCTTGCAGCGCCAGAAGACCCGGATGCGGGTCCCGCTGAGTGTGGAGAAGCGGGTGGCCATCGCCATCTGGAAGCTGGCCACCTCCGTCTGTTACCGCGACGTAGGCAACCAGTTCGGCGTAGGCAGGTCCACCGCCGGCTCGGTGGTGCTGGAGGTCTGCCGGGCCATTCAGAGGGTGTTGATGCGTTCCACGGTAAACGTGGGGAACAGTTTGGCGGACACCATCGGGGGCTTTGAGGCCAGGGGGTTCGCCAACTGTATGGGCGTGGTGGGCACCACGCACATGCCCATCTTGTGTCCTCCTCACCAGGCGTCGGAGTACGTCAACACCAAGGGCTACTACTCCATGGCCTTGCAAGCTTTGGTGGACCATCAAGGGAAGTTCACCCATCTGAGCGCGGGGTGGCCTGGCAAGACTCACGAAGCCAAGATCTTCAACAAGTCCACCTTGTTCACCAAAGGGCAGGAAGGGACCCTCTTCCCTCCCGCTCCCGTGGAGATCAACGGCGTATCGGTCCCTCGCGTCATCCTTGGAGGGCCGGCCTACCCTCTCCTTCCATGGTTGATGGTGCCCTACACCGAAGATCTGGATGAGGTCAAGGAGTCCTTCAACGCCACGCTGAGCCGATGCCAGGAGCCCTTGGAAGAAGCCTTCAGCCGTCTGAAGGGCCGGTGGCGCTGCCTGACCGGGCGCAACGACTGCGCGGTGGAGAATCTTCCCCGCCTCATCTCGGCCTGTTGCGTCCTGCACAACATCTGTGAGGAGAAAGGGGAGGCCTACGAGGAGAAGTGGGAAGCTGAGGCCAAGCATCTGGCCGCCACGTTCGAACAGCCCCTGCAACGCCCCGATACGCGCATTAAACCCGCCGCTCGGTCCGAAAAGGTCCGGGATGCTCTCTGCGCGTACATCGCCAGCAAGATATGAGGAGCAGAAGGAGGCTGGTGGTGCTGCCAGAATTTTGGGGGAGACCAGGCCCGAAGTGAGACTTCGCGCCCCCAGGGCGCGATCCGATTGCCCCCCAAAACTGCCTCAAGGGTTCTGGGCGGCGTTAAGACAGCAGACTTATATTCTCGACGTTGATTTTGGTGTGAAGAATTCAGAAATCCAGGGTAGAGAATCCGTAGATTCGTGTTTCTCAATCTTGGCAACTTTAAGGATAGAAGTCCCACTCCAGGAATTTCCCAGCCAGCATGGCTGGCCTAGGGGATTCTGGGAGTTGAAGTCCGCCCCTCTTAAAGTTGCTGAAGTTGCTGACCTCCATTGGGGATCAGGTTGGGGAATTCTGGGAATTAAAGTCCTCCCCCGCCAGTCTTAAAGTTGCTGAGCCCATGTTGGCTGAGAAATTGTGGGAGTTGAAGTCCACCAATCTTAAAGTTGCTGAGGTTGACTGGGGGTTTCTGGGAATTGAAGTCCCACCCACCCCCATCTTGAGGTTGCCGACCTCCATATTGACTGGGGGTTTCTGGGAATTGAAGTCCCTCCCCCATCTTAAAGTTGCTGACCTCCATGCTATCTGGGGAATTCTGGGAGTTAAAAATCTCCCCATCTTCAAGTTGCTGAGGTGGCTGACCGCCATTGGGGATCAGGTTGGGGAATTCTGGGAATTAAAGTCCCCCCCCCCCGCCAGTCTTAAAGTTGCTGAGCCGATGTTGGCTGAGGAATTCTGGGAGTTGAAGTCCACCCATCTTAAGAGTTGCTGAGGTAGCTGACCTCCATGTTGACTGGGGGATTCTGGGAGTTAAACTCTCCCCATCTTAGGTTGCTGACCCCCATATTGGCTGGGGAATTCTGGGAGTTGAAGTCCCCCTGCCTTAAAGCTGCCTTACAGGGACGTGCGTCCTTCGCCTAAGTAAAGTGACTCACTCAATTACCATTCACACTTGTTTTGCAAAGCGGATTAACCACCCCAGTACCGTTTATACCTGCCTCCGCAGAGAGTCGATGAAACAGAGACACACCTCTGTGTTTAGTTTTTCATTCACATTAGAGGATTGCGGATATGCCTGGGCCTCCTGCCCAAAATTTCCACCATGGATTCCCTGTTGATGTGGGTCCTCCTCGCTCAAGGCTTGCACTCACGTAAACCCGGCTAATCAGTCTTCTCTAGCCGGCATTGTAGCTAAGAGAACCCCAAGAGTCACCGAGATGGACGGCAAATAAATTCAATAAATAACAATAATAAAATAACCTTAGATGGGAGCACAGATTCAGGCGGAGATTCCTGTACGTTCCTTTAGGAAAATAAAAGGGTATTTTCTTTGAAAAAAACCCCCAGCAAAATGCCTTTTTGGTGGGGTTAGCCTGGGCAAGGGCCACTGGTTGCCCTGGGATTGGAACTGAAGCCAAGTGCTCATGAGGACTAGAATCTTTGCAGGCGTTGGATCCATTTTAACTATGTTTATTCCGTTTCGGTGCTGCAGATGGAGTTTGTCTCCAGCACTCAGTTTTCAGAGCTGCTGGGAGTTGGCCGATATATAAATTTAATAAATGAGTGTTAATATTCCTCAATGAGTCAAACGTTTAAATATGTCAGCTGCGACCAGAGAGGGGAGCCCCCTTTTTATGGCGCCCATGAAAGAGGGGTGCGTTTCGGTCACACTCTCACCACCGGCATGTTATTTATTTATCGCTTTTCATTTCATTTATGGATTTATATGGACGAAAAACAAATAAAAAAATTTTTTAGTCCGCTGCTTGTCGAGACTGTACGAAAGGAGGAGGGCTAAAGAACTGTAAAAAAATTTTTTAGAAAAGGCGCCTTGTAGGGTCGATGGGAATATGTCCTTCAGGAGCGGGATGTCATCAAGTGAATCACTGATAAGCTTCAATGTTGTCGTGACTTTTTTCCCTGTATTTAATGATGATGATAATAAATTTGGAAGGGACCTTAGAGGTCATCTAGTCCAACCCCCTGTTCAGGCAGGAAACCCTACACCATTTCAGACTACTATTACTACTACTACTACTACTACTACTACTACTACTACTACTACTACTATTAGTAATAATAATAATAATAATAAAGTTGGAAGGGACCTTGGAGGTCATCTAGTCCAATCCCCTGCTCAGACAGGAAACCCTACACCATTTCAAACTACTACTACTACTACTACTACTACTACTAATAATAATAATAATAATAATAATAATAATAATAATAATAATAATAATAATAATAATAATAAAAATTGGAAGGGACCTTGGAGGTCATCTAGTCCAACCCCCTGCTCAGGCAGGAAATCTTATACCATTTCAGACTAATAATAATAATAGTTGGAAGAGACCTTGGAGGTCATCCAGTCCAACCCCCTGCTCAGGCAGGAAACCCTATACCATTTCAAACTAATAATAGTAGTAGTAGTAATAATAATAATAATAATGTTAATAGTTGGAAGGGACCTTGGAGGTCATCCAGTCCAACCCCCTGCTCAGGCAGGAAACCCTAAACCATTTCAGACTACTACTACTACTACTACTACTACTAATAATAATAATAATAATAATAATAATAATGTTAATAGTTGGAAGGGACCTTGGAGGTCATCCAGTCCAACCCCCTGCTCAGGCAGGAAACCCTATACCATTTCAGACTAATAATAGTAGTAGTAGTAGTAGTAATAATAATAATGTTAATAGTTGGAAGGGACCATGGAGGTCATCTAGTCCAACCCCCTGCTCAGGCAGGAAACCCTATACCATCATATACCCTATACTTGTGACCGTTTTTCACACTTAACAACCATTGCATCATCCCCAGATCGTAAAATGGGGCAAAACCCGCTGAGCCGCTGCCTCGCTTTGCCACAAAAAATTTCGTGTTCAGTTGTGGTTCAATATCTGCATTTCCGTTACTGCCTCATTCATTTCTGGCCTTTTAAGACTCTGCGGCTGCATTTGCACAGCACAATTCATGTAGAATATTAAGTTAATTTGTCCATTTCACGAGGCCCAGCTAACCAGTTTCCGGGCTTTGCCCCATGCCTCAAAACTCTAAACCAGCCAAACAGGACGATGGAAAAGCCACAATAAAGGAAGAATTAAAGGTTGTTTACGGGCGTCTCTCCTAAACATGCTATATTTCAGCTTCTGGAATTCAGCTCACCGAAAGAAAGTGAGTCAAAGAATTTGTCTAGCTTGAGTTCGAGTTTGGCTCCTCAAAGTTCCAGCTTTTCAAGGAAGAAACTTGAAAAATATCCGTGATCAGGATGAAACAAGCTATGTTTTGACACCACAAAATGTAGAACCCCCCACGAAGCTGGTGTGATGGGAAGGTTGCCGGCTTGGGTGAAAAGGAACCAAACCCTTTTCCTCCATGAGGACTATAAACTTGTCAAGGGACTGACTGGAGAACTCGAAAAGGAATTCTCAAAGGGGTCAACCACATATACATAAAAGAAAATAAGATTTAGTGCGAATATACTGGGGCAAACACCCTTCACCAGCACATCGATGGCAGTGTTGGTAATTGCAAAGATTTTTGCTCAAGTGATCATGGCGCTTTGAGTGGAAATGTGTTAGCAATTGAAAATGAAAAGACCGACATTGTAATGTCATCAGATCCATCTTTGCTGGTTGGGGGATTCTGGGAGTGGAAGTCCACCCATCTTAAAAACTGCTGAGGTTGAAAAAAACCACTGATTTTAACCTAGTTTTCAACAGAAACTGCCGCATGTTTTATTATGTGCAAATGTCTTTCAAGTCTCTACACAACAGTTGGCTAGCAGGCACTTTCTATGTCGATATATCTTGTTGTTAGCACCGAATTTTTCAGTAAAAGGGTCTCCTGAACTTTTTTTGTAGGAGTCAAATAAGCAGGATAGTAAATAAGGAAAGTGGGCATATTTAAAATTCAGTTGAGGGAAACTAACGAGACCGTGTGAATCGTCGTACTCTATTCTATTTTGACATAATAGTAGATAATTCTTCTAACAGGAACGGTGCCCCCAAATAATATTAGGATATATTTACACACCCATGCAAAAACTATCAGAAGTCAATACAGAGTCCTTGACTTAACCACAGTTGAGCCCACGTTTTTCACTGCTAAGCAAGACACTTGCTAAGAGAATAGAATAGAATAGAATAGAATAGAATAGAATAGAATAGAATAGAATACAGAAAGAATAGAATACAGAATAGAATAGAATACAGAAAGAATCGAAATAAGGAATAGAATACAATAGAATACAGAAAGAATAGAATAGAATAGAAAATATGGAATAGAATAGAATAGGAATAGAATAATAAATAAGAATAGAACAGAATAGAATTAATAGAACAGAACTGAACAGAATAGAATAGAATAGAATAGAATAGAATAGAATAGAATAGAATAGAATAGAATAGAAAATATGGAATAGAATAGAGCTGGAAGGGACCTTGGAGGTCTTCTAGTCTAGCCCCCTGCTCAGCAGAAGAACCCCATCGTGCCCCATTTTTATGTCCTTCCTTGCGGCAGTTGTTAAGCCAAATCACTGCAGTTGTTCAATTAGTCACACCGTAAATTATATATATATAAAAAAAAACCAAGCCGGGAGCAGCATATAAGAGGATGTCTTATCCAGCACATCTGCAGCAGATGCATTGGTGGTTCAGTGGTAGAATTCTCGCCTGCCACGCGGGAGGCCCGGGTTCGATTCCCGGCCAATGCAACTGACCTTTTGTGTCCCTGGTGTGTGTGTGTGTGTCTAAAGAAATATATATATATATATATTGCCAGCGATATCGTTTTCTGGGGAATTCTGGGAGTTGAAGTCCACACGTCTTAAAGTGGCCCAGGTTGAAAAACCACCGATTTAGATTGACAGGCTGGTTCGTGGCGGCGGGGGGGGGGGGGTTCAAAGGGACATAGGTAACGTGGTTGCCAGTTCCCCCCCCCACAATTAGCACCCTGTGAGGTTAGGTTCAGCTGCCCCCCTCCCCAA